CGCGAAGCGCCCTGCCTTCACTAAATACCCGACATTACATGTACGCGTGTTGTTGACTATAAAAAGTTAGGTTATGTTGGAAACGGCTTCCCATTGAAGAGTGTGGGAAATTTAACAATTTTTTGTGGCAAAAGTAAGCATTTCTACAACATTTGAAGGTGAGGAACGTGTTCAGGGGGTGCTGTAGAAGAGTTGTGTGCAAACAGTTTGTGCGAAATCGTGAAGTGCCCTTTGTAAAATTTTACCTTTTTATATTATTATGACTATTCTTGATTGTGCATGATGATTGGTTAATTTAGGTGACAGTTATAATTCAAATCTTCGACTCTGACCGACTGAATTGTGACAAATGACATATGACAGTTGTCACATTGATTGACATTGGCAGCACAAAACACTAGTAACAGTGAGAACATCAACATCAACACATAAGACGGCTAGGCTTAAATTTCATTGGTTGATTCAGCGGCAGCAAAAAATTTTTGCAGCCTAAGCAGAAATTTTTTTTCCTGTCAAGGCAGTGAAGTGGGACTTTGTATTTATCAATTGAGGTATGCAATGACCCGTATTTCTGACGTTTGAAGAAAAATGTAATTTTCACTGTTCTGGAAATAAATATAAATTTCTGATTCCGCATATTAATCTTGTCTATACTTTTATAATAAAGCTGAAGCTGTTGTTTATTTGAACACGCTAATCTCAGAAACTACTGGTTCAAATTCAAAAAATCTTTTTGTGTTGGATAGTCCATGTATCGTATCTACATATAGGCTATATAAAATCACGCTACGATCATTAGGAGCGAAGTAGCAATGAAAAATTCGGAAAAACGGGAAAATTATTCCTCCTTTGACAGCTTCCGTTGCTTACGCTGCTTAAACGGTTAATGTTACGTAAAAATCATGTATGACGAAATTGTTCCCCTCTAAAAGTTCTAAAGAAAAGTCCGCGACAGCATATGTCTATCTTTTAAGGTCGACTCAGTATAACCTTTTTTATGGTAATGAAATTTGTTCTAAAATAATAATGCATTATGTATAAAATTCTCGCGTCACAATGTTTGTAACCGAACTTCTCCGAAATGGGTAAACCGATTTGTATGAAATTTTTTGTGTCTATTCGGTAGGTCTGACAATAGGTTGTAAACTATTTTTTAAACCCCTAAGTGATAAGGGTGGCCCACCCTAAAAAATTTTTGTCTATTTTTTTGGACAAAATTTTTTATTTTTATTTTTTTAAGAATTGGCATCAAAAAATACACATAACCCTAAATTGTCACCTTTCTACCACCAACCCCCATTTTTTAATCGTCTATATAATAAAAATCAATTGCTGTTCCTGTTAGTCTCGCTAAGACTCAAAAACGGCTTGACCGATTTGAAGAATTTTTTATATTACGGAGATGGTTTATAAATAAAAAAATAAGGAAAACTTAAAAGAACAGTTAAAAAATAAAAAAATTCTAAAAATTTTGCATGGGAATGGCCACTTCGAATTAATTTCAATAGTTGACGTTTCTGACGGACCTGTCGTCTAACTGACGTGTCATACAAAACTAATTCTTCCGTGCAATTGTGAAAAGTATATTGCATTTCAAATCGTTCTTTGTTTTTCGTAAAAAAAACGTCGTTTATTTTAAGAAAAGTCTTGGTTAAAGTGAATTTAATTACACATTGCGAAAGTTTCTTATTAATTTTGATCTGCCATTCTATTTACCTATATTCACTTTGTTGGTTTCGACAAAACCTCAAACTTTACCGTTATTCGAAGATTTAATTTGAAGTTTTCAATATTTTAAAATTCTCAAGACAAAATTTACAGATTTGATTGACTGTAAAAATAATTCTGTGTCGTTTTATGAAGTTCATTAAAATGCCGAGAAGACGACAACCTCACATAGGTCCACGAAGTCAATCAAATGTGCGACGAACTACCTCAGGTGCAAACCGCAATGATTTATTTCATGGGTAATTCGGATATGGAAGTTGATCAGCGTTGTGCTCATAATCAACATAATCAAACATTGAAGCGAGACATTGAGTGGTATGAATAAAACTGAGTATATATTCGAAGTACGAAGTACCTACTTCATTATTACTCTTATATACCTGAGCATCTACTCTATGTACTGAGTACCTACTGGGAAACATTGTATCTCTCCGAACACAAACTGAACATCTACGCGTTTTGTGAGCATTTAATCTAGAAATGAGCATCGGCGTGGCAAATAACTGAGCTGTCTGTAAAGTAGCTTAGAAAACCAGTAGGATCGTTGTAAGAGTGAATTTTAACTAAACATGGTGACTTTCATGAATGTGGAACGTCGTCAAAAGGTGCATTCAGTTTGAAAAACACATTAGGAGCAGGAATATCGAAAACTTTTCATGTAATTAACTTTTATTTATTCATAAATTGTGCAGTGCGTTTTTTCTAACACTGGCCATAGAGATTCCCATCTCAAGGTGTCTACCCCATACTAACTTATATTTTGGTAACTCGATTTTTGCCTTGATGGTTGAACACGGTCACTGTTGTCTTTTTTTGTTGTATCGAGATGCTACTTGAGCATCAACTGTTACTTACTGAAGTATTAGTATCATCTAGAAAAACTAGAAATATTTTGATTTGATATTCGAGTAGATACTTCGTATTTCGAGTATGAGCATCTACTGAGTTTTATTTATATCAACCATTGTCAAAAAATTGATCGAACGTTGTTTCGACAGAACTTCCTTCGCACCGAAAGTATAATGAAACATATTCAGCATTTTCGAGTTGAGTCTTTTCTTCACACAATTTTGTGATGACCTAATCAACATTTACTATCAACACGTTGATATACCACCTTGGATTGGTGCAGTGTAATACTAAAAATAACTGTATTGTATTCCCAAAATTATCTGCGAAAATCGAGTGAGCCATTCCATCAATTTTTTGGGGGGAATAAATAAATATTCTTAACAATTTACAGTGTAAAAGCAAATCTAAAAAAATATGAATGCAGTGATAAATTACGAAAATATACTGATGATATTTTCCACATTTTAGATAGGATTTATTCGGCAAAATCTTGAGATGACGTCTTCAAGTTTTTGGGCTTGATAAACAGATATATTTTGATTGAAAACCGACCATGTCAAACTTAACTTCAAAACGTCTGCAATATTTCAAAATTCAGTTTTGCAATTCTTGATTCAATCAATAAAATAAATTGACTCAGTGATTAATTTTTTTGAGACACCCCCTATAAGCAAAACTAAAAAATATGAATGGAATGATAAATCACAAGTATAGTCTCATCCTATTTTGGACATTTTAGATAGGATTCATTTGTCAAAATTTTGGGCTGACGTCATCAATTTTTTGGAGGGGATAAGTAAATATATTTTGAATAAAAATTTATTATGCTTATCATATGTTTAAAACATCTGCAAGATTTCAAAGCATTCGATTTTGCAGATTCAAAATTAAATTGTAGGTGAAACGGAGTTCACGGGGTCAGCTAGTCTCTAATATAAGCTATGCTTCTCTTGTTCAAATTATATCCGGATTTCTTATTTCATAGTTGGGGATGAATTGTACAAAAAATATTGATTTAGCTGATTACTTATATTATATCTTTTTATAATATACTGACTTTACAGTACTGAAAAAATGTATTATTTGCACATTACTGTAAGGTATTGGTGAAAAATGAAAGAGTAAAAATTGTCTGGATCGTTCCCTGGAGTCCTTAATTAATTTTTTGAAATTTTGAGAGTAAAATAGTGTAATATATAATACAAAACAGTATTTATCGTCGCACCAGAAACTAATTAAATAAATTTGTGCTAAAAAATAAACCCTAAGGTACACGTGGGTACTTCTGTGCTTTACATGTGAGAAAAAATTGTGTACATAACTTTACAATCTATAAAGTATAATATAAAGTATAATTTTGTGGATTTTAATCCGCATACTATGGACCCTCTGCATGAAGTTTTTTAATTTTTGAGGATACAACTGTTGAAAATTTCAGATATACCAACAATCCTATTAATCCGCTGTTTAAAAGTTCATAAAAAAAACTCCAGAATACAGTACGAATAACGACGTGAACTACATTTAAAAACATGTACCAGCCAGCGAACTATTTTAAGTGGTTTACCACAACGCAATATTAGTCTGTTTACTGAGAAATGCTTTAATTACAGCACCTAGTTTTCACTGAAATGGTAGAAACTTTTTCGACTTTTTTAACCAAATTAAAAGCGTAAAGTTGATAGTTAACCACTAAAAATTTGGTAATTTATGTAAGAAGGAAGTGAACAAAAGTATAGACAAGTTTTTTTATTTTATGTAAACAAAAACGTCAATATTTTCCGTGATTGGTTACGAATTTTAGAAAATTCGATACAGTCCGGAGAATTTTTGCAAGTGTTTTAATTTGTCAAAATTATGCAAAAACTATAACGAGATTCAACAAGTGCTGAAGCGGAACAATTTCCTGACTTGTCTCTGTACCGGATGCATTGATCGATCACGTTCTAATAGACTAGTCCGTATTAATTAATTTGTAAATAACACCAATAAAATATGCATTTGCTTCGTTTAATTATGGGCTGAAAAGAATTTTTATGAGATAGATAAATTGCACATTTTGTCCACCAACTTATGTGTGATTCCTTTCTAAATAATGTAAATCCTAGTGAGTGGTTTAGAGACTGATATGAACAGGCGTCAATTTTTCGGCACAGAATAAACTAATCACTCGTTTGGAGAAACCTTTACCTTTGTTCCAATTGCCAACCGAATAAGGCATTTGCATAAAGCCCGCCAAGTTAAACAAAGACTGTCGATTTATTTGAACTGAGTGAAACCGATTCGTGAAAGCACGTCTTGGAAGGGCGTGACAATACGGATTTTGGTGGAAAAAAAACTTTACACATACTATCTAAGGACATATTTTGTACACCTGCGGATCGTGGAGCGATTAGTTTAGTGTACGCATTAGTGGCAGCATGTCTTGGGTACCACAGAACTTAGCAGAAACATGTGCGGTGCAAACCACCATTACGACCTGCCAGCCACCAGCGTTTTTGTTCCTGCAACTCGTCACGCAATTATTTGGATATTCTTTAGATTCTCAGTATAGTTCCGGTCAAAGCGGCTATAATTTTGGCACAGGATATAATGAATATTTCGGTGGGACTAGCGATTATAACAGTGATGAACAGTATAATCAGCAAAATACCCAGGAATATGACTTTATCGTGGTGGGTGCAGGAAGTGCCGGATGCGTTTTAGCTAACCGTTTAACAGAAATACCTCAATGGAGGGTAAGTTACATCGAGTATTTAATTAATAATTCTAAGATAAGATGTTGGAATGAACTTAGCCTAACAAAAAAAAAAAAATACAGTTTGACGTTTTGGAAAATTTTTAATTTTATTGGAAAAATGACGCTAATTGCATTATGATACTTCCGGATATGTCAGATGAATATTATACAAGTAGACAAAAACATGCGAATAGATCATTCATTTTTCCGTAAATCTTAGGAACAAATTTATTTAAGTAAAGGAAACAATTTCCATATTAATTCGGTACTGGATGAACCTATACAGTTACCATTAAATATTTCCAGTTATTTTTTATTAGATATGCAACAGGAACATGAAGTTGTAAAAATAAAAATATGGACATGCATGTATTAAAAATTTATAAAAAAATGTAATTATAAAGTACTATATAATTATCTTTTTTATTAATTTTATTGTTTTGCATTATATTATTATTAATTTAATTCAAGGATATAAAATGAGGTAGATTTATTAACAGATGTCTCCTTTGTTTGAAAAATTGCTTCAGTGAATGTTGAAAAATAAAAACTGTAATGTTATAAACTTGATTCTTTAACTTTGAAAACAGTATAGTAAAAAAAAAGTGAAATGAAGTGAAAATATACCGGCAGTAAGAAAGTTTGTGTGCCCGACTAGGTGAAATTAAATTCTATTAAAATTTAAAATGAAATTTTGGCGAATGAAAAAGTGTTTCAATCGGTACAGTTCGCAGGAAGACTTTTTCTCAGGAAAAAAGAAAGACTGCTTAGAAACTAGATATTTACTTAATTTATATTTTATTGTCATTATAAACGATATATAAAGAGACAAAATACAAATCATTTAATACGAAAGGGTACAATGAGAAGAGAAAGCAAGAACACGTAGAAACTAAAAGTTTATCTAATTCTTAATACAAACGACCGTTAAGGAGAAACGATATTTTTATTTAATATGGAAGGATACGATGAGAAGAGGAAGTAACCATTCGTAGAAACTAAAAGTTTATCTTATTCTTGTTACAAACGACCCTTAACGAAACACAATATTTTGTCTCGTTAAGGGTCATTTGTAATAATAATTACGAATACGATGTGAAGAAACTGTAGTTTTCAATTTTCACCTTTTTGAAGAATTTAAATTAATTTAAAAAATCGGGAAATTTTATATATTAGATAATTCTTCCGTTTTATATTCACAATTCATTATTTTTTTATGCGAATAGATTATTGCCAGTATTCGTGATTACATAAGTGTTCCATTTCAATGGATGCTTATTAACACGAGGTAGGAAAGAATATCGTTTATATTGTTTTTATGGCTAGTATTTCTGGGACACTGGCTCCCATGACTTTATAAATTAATAACTACATGATATTACTTTTCAAGTAAGTATCACACTATTTTCTGCAATTCATGTTGTTCCTATTTACTCGCAGTTAGGAGGTGATAGTATTTACATCTTCATGTGAACGTTTCTGATTATTTTACAGTCTGTTAATATAATATTAATAAGTAATGGTATTCTCAATTACGCTGAATTATTATGTAATGCAAAAACAAGGTTATTTGCATTTTCTCTCTAATATCTAGTAGAAAAAAGGAATTCTTTAGTTAATTTGTGGAAAATAACTAATAATAAGGTTCAAAGTACTTCCGTACTTGTTTAGTTCCATGTAGAATCAGTGCTTTAAAAAAAATACAATTTCTGTTATCATGGGTGATTTAAAAGTAATAAGAATTACTTTCACTTACAATTTTAAGGGTTTCATGTTTACAAAGTAATGTATGAGAGGCAAGATTGTTACGCCAATATAAAAATTATGCCTTTAACTTTTCTCATTTAAAAATCAAATCTGGAAATTCCAACGAATAAAGCGGTAAGCATAGTCCATAAATTCTAGGAACTTATTTTAAAAACCTGTGTTTTTTCAATTTTATCAACGATTCTTTCTCTGATTCAGAAATACAATTTTTTTCTGAGATGTTCCCGAGAATGTTGCGTATCTAAATTGAGACTGCTAGTTCCATGTCTTCTTGTGATTCAATTTTTATCCACAGAGCAATAGTTTCTTTAAAAAAAGACATCAAATATTTATTAAATTTGAAACACAAGTCTTTCATAGCAAATTAGTAAACATGAAATGCTTTTACATGGTTTTTGATTTTTCAGCGATTTTTTACGAAGTGATCTGGAGTAAATTTTTATAAACTGAGCACATACAATTTTTACACAGATATTCAACATACATCGGTTTTGAACTCTAAACATCAACAAACGTAACTATTTCTAAGCATTCCCCTGCAGCCTTGCAAGTTTGCAAATTTATGTCGTCTGTCTGCTTTGAAACTTGATGTGAGTAACTAGATCGTCGTAACCATTAAAAGTTCTTTAACCAGCACTTTGTTCTAAAAACTAATTGAGATTTTGTGGTAGGTAAAGCGTAAAAACATTTTTAATTAAAATGATTTGTAAAATTAGGAAAAACTTCCTGTTAAAAAATACATTGGTTCTGCATGACACATACTAGTGTCGGTCTCTGGCCTGAACTCAAAGTTGAAGGTTTTATTATGAATCAGTCAAATTTCTTTAATAGCAAACACTTCTATTTATTTAAGTACCTATATTATACAGTAGAACATTTGTTACAAAATGATAACAAGGTCCCTAAATTTTAACGCTTTTACCAGTTCACTGGTCTCAAACAAAATTTTACTAATATTTTATGTGAAAAAGATTTGTCACTTTTTTGTATGCTATAGTCTTTAAACCCCATAATAAATATTTTAAGAGTTATTGCTGTTATTACTGTCATAAAAAGCAAAATTCAGAAGTTATATTCTAACTACTCGATTGTTTTAATAAATGATTATAAATTTATATGTTCAACTAAAAGTGTGTGCACGTGCTGATTTTAATTTTAGAAGTGCACTTACAAGCTGTGAAATGTATATGGATAGTTACATTAAATTCAAAGTAACTATAAATTTAGTAAACCTAGAGTAATTTATAGAAATAAATTAAAAATTAAAGAGCTATTAAACATTTAATGACGCATGAGGTTTAATTTCGAGAATTCGATTTGTGGAATTTAATTACATGACCAACTAACCGCATGATTAAGTTAGTAACACTTTTATCTTTCGGGTCACAGGGTTTAAGTACAGTTTTTGGTAGACAATATGTTCTGATTTCAAACCTGGGTACTAAATTTTAAATAATTTTTTATGAAACAGATATTCTTTTATATTTCACAATTGTCTGCACAGTATGTATTGCTTTATGGATCTCTTTATTTTGATGATTGCCTCAACAACAGTTTATTTATTTCCTTGAAATTTGCTGACAACATAATCTTAAACAATACAACTTTAAGGTATCAACTAGTTGTTGTGTATAAATTGAGAACTGGGCGGTTTGGCGGAAAAATTGTCTGTAGACCTTCCCTTTGAATAACTTTACTACCAATAGAAGTGGCAGTCGGTGCTGCAGTTTACTGCTGTGTACTTTGGATTTTATAAATTAATGGCCTTAAATTAACGCACCGTTTGTAATCCACTAATGGAAATAAAAATATGTCAAGTAGTGACTAAATATGCTATGAACATTTTAATTAGTAATTTTTAGAACACTTTAAAAATTATTTTCAAAACTTTTTAGCAAATCATACTTAAATTCGCTGCAAACTCAATTGAATGACAATCGTATAGAACAGGAAAATAGATTTTCTCTAACAAAATGGTAACAATAAAGCAAAGCCTTCGGTAATCTTTTACGGACACGTGGTAAATTATGACCTTTAAAAGACAACAATAAAATTATGCAATTCCGCAAAAATAGAATTTTTCTAGTGTAAAATTTTCATTGAATGAGTTTTTTAATAAAATTAAACTTTATACTATATTATAATTATTCTCATGTGACAGATGTAATGTCTCTGGTTAAAATTCCATCTAGAACCTCAAGTAGGTATCTTCCTCATTAAAGTTTCACAAAGGCGATTATGAACCAACCGTATCGTTCGTTTTTACTTTTAAATCATTATCCTTTGAACGCAGTCCATTATATCACAGTCACGTTTTTACAGATGAGAGCTTTTTCACCAGTTTATTTATTTTTAATATCCTACTTAGAAAATATTGGTAAGAAATTATAATAAGGGTAGCCCAGAAAAAATAGAAACAAGATAGTTGTTACGATTCGAATTTAGTGAAACTGAATAGGACCATTTAAAGGTGGCTTGTGCAATGTGCCTTTTAAAAATTAAAATGGAGTTTGACAAATTAGTGACGTATTTACTATTGCTAAAAATATGGCAGTACTTAACTGCAGTTAGTCTTCGTGTCGTATTATTGGTAATTTTGATTAAATCGGTTTAGTTTTGGGTTTAAGCACTCAACAGTTTTATTTAATGAACATTTTATTGTTGTAATTCTAACTGTAAGATGAACCAGTTAGAAGTGCAGATTATGTGTGCAAACAATATTCAATTATTATGCAAACAGCTTTGTTGCTTTGACATTCCAGGTGTATTTTAAATATCTATACCAGCTTATAATAACAATAGTTTATTTACTATATTCAACAACACACTCTCTGCATCAATGATTTATTATAGTGTTGTTCTGCTTCTCTGCATTTGAACTGAACTGGAATGACAAGTCAGTTAAACCGTGACTCATTTGTCTGCGAACGAGACCTCTACCTTGCATTTTCTTTTTTATCCAGTTTGTAATGTTTTGCTTTTCGTTATTGACATTAAACTCTTTCAATGGTAATATTATTATTGCCAGCGTTGTACGTGCTCTAAAATTAGAATAATTACTACCTCTTTGAATATTAAACAATAATTATATGCAATACTAAAAAGCTGCAGAGGCTGAACATTGCTTTCTTCTCTCTAAACTGAAAATTCTGTACGAACGTCCAAATTATTTAATTATTTCAAGAAAAACATCGGTTTTCACTACTTCACGCTAAAAACAATGGATTTTACAGAATTTCAATGTCCTTATCTGTTCTCAAAATATTAAGCCTTGATAGTGTCAAAAACGACCTGATCAACGCGATATAGTTCGGGTTTTAGAGTTTAGAAAAATGTTAGAATTTTTAACTAATTAGTAAGTTAATATTTCCATACTTTAGTTACAACCTCTGTATAAAAATTTTAATAAAAATTGAAAATGAATTTTAAGATGTGTTTAATTAAAATTCCTTATAAACGTTCCCATAATGTGCAAAAGAGGAGTGCTTTAGGTGCAATAAAGCAATTTTATTAAAATTAATTTTTCCTTTGTGTTCATAGTTACCAATTTTGCCATCTTAATTACCAGAATAGGCTCACGTGCTGTTCATCGTGGTGACATAATCACAATTTCTGGGTACAAAATTCATTAATTACAGTAAAAACGATTTACTACTTACTTACTATTAATAACACTCTCACTTTTCTGTCATCTAATTAAAAATGTTGTGAGTGAAAAGAGGTGCATGAGAGTAGTTCTTACAAATACACAATACAGATAAAAAGTTATTTAACAATGGAGTACTTATTTTCCGGATTTTGTGGTTTCGATGCAATTGAATTCTGAAAGATTATAGTGAAAAATATATGCAAGCCTGAAATTTTGCAAGTAACCTTTGAAATTACGCACAAGGCGAAACTGTCTCAAGGATAGTTTTATTTTAGATAAATGTTATTTGACAAATATTCCATAAAATACAAAAAAGTGATGTCAGTGATGCAAAGTCATTTTTTAGTATACACGACCAGATCCATTTTTGTTATAATAATTTTGTTCCACTTCTGTAATTTTAATAACAATATCTCTAAAAATTATGTAGCACTTTTTTTTTTTGTTACCACTATGCGTACAAATAGGAAAATTTATTTAAGTTTGATTCAATGTTACCTATATTGTTCGCACAGTGTTTAAGTCAAGGTTAAGTTTTACTTGTTCTCAGTCGTCAACGGATCTAAACATTTTTTTGTAACGTTAAAGCTAGTTTAAACTGAACCAAGTAATGAAACTATAGTGTTGCATTATAACCACACGCGAAGTCTTGATTCATTCATTGATTACATGGTAAATTAATGGAATTTCTATTGAAGTTAAAAAGATTTTTTATATGTACTGAAACAGGAAGAGTGGAAAATTTAAGATGGAAAATTTGAGAGAACATAATGGTTGCGGAGTTAAGTCTATGGATATACGGTACATTAAGTTTAACCGTGAAGGACCACGTAATTTTACATTTTAACTAAATTATTTCGTTTTACGGATGTCGAACTGCGCTGTATCTATTGTAACCTTATTAAAATTTATGACATAAAACTTCAACTTTGAACAGAAAGAGAAATCAATAGATACGATATTACCGAAAAAAACTACAATGTATACGTTATTATCCTTAATAAATGTATTAGAGTGATAATAACAAAGGCAAAGAGGATGATGATAATGATAAAAAATCTTGCCTGAATGCCTGTTATTTTCGGGTTTGTAGTGGATCTTATAATAATAATATTAATAATAATAAAATTATTATGATTCAGACTTATTAATTATAAAAATGTGCAGGAGTTATTCCACATTTTTTGTGATTTCCTACTTTTTTAAAAAGTTTTACTGAAATAATAAATAATGTAGAAAGTGTAGGTTTCCGATCTCTTGTACGCCATCCGAAAATCGACTTTATATTTAATAGCAATACATAATTTAACTAAAAAATCGTATGATTCCATGCAAAATTTTACAATAATTGGACGAAGAACGACAGAAAAGTACACATAACCACAGCAATTAGATATTTCCTGTCAATTTTTTTTACATATAAACTAAGATTTAACGATGCGTCATACGGCTCGTACAGTAAAACTTATTCAAAGAGATGTTTGTATTCCAAACTTACTTTAGGATTTACGGTACAGTGGGAATGTTTTCTATAAAGTCTGGGAAAACAAACGTTGCAGCAACACACAAACTTATTTGTTATTATTATGTTACAGGTTTTGTTACTTGAAGCTGGCGATGAAGAACCTGAAGCGGCCGATGTTCCGTCATTTGCTCCACTGTTACAACGTTCTAACATTGACTGGGGTTTCATGACGCAACCTAATCCTTATAGTTGCCTTGCAAGACAAAATGGTCAGTGTGCTTGGGCTAGAGGAAAAGTTATGGGTGGATCATCGACTATTAACTACATGATTTACCTACGAGGAAATCCCAGAGATTATGATGAATGGGCGGAATACGGTAATCCCGGCTGGTCATATCAAGATGTACTTCCTTACTTTATAAAATCTGAAGACAACCACGATGTGCCGAACGTAGCACCTAATGTTCATGGAACAGGAGGATATTTAAGTGTTGAACGATTTCAGTACCGGGATCAAAATGTAATTGCAATGTTAAAGGCTTTGGAAGAAGCAGGATTGCCAATTTATGACCAAAATTCAGGCCATCAAATTGGTGCTAGCATATTACAAACTACCTCAAGGAATGGAAAAAGGGAAAGCACAAATGTGGCTTTTATTAGACCTATAAGAAACAAACGAAAAAATCTGGTCATTGAAACCAACGCTTATGCTACTAGAGTACTCATAAATCCTGAAACCAAAGTTGCTTATGGTGTGGAATATGTGAAAAATGGAAAAATCGTTCAAGCTATGGCTAGGAAAGAAGTTATTGTTTCATGTGGAACCATATTGTCACCGAAGATACTGATGTTAAGTGGAGTGGGTCCCGCTCATCACTTGCAAAATTTCGGAATTCAGGTTCTCAAAGACCTCCCAGTAGGGTACAATTTGATGGATCATCCCACTCTCGATAATGTACTGTTCCAAATATCAAATCAAACCTCAACATTGGCAACTCCTGAAGAGGAAGCTCAAGATGCAATTTATTACAGAGAAGAACAGGCCGGGCCTTTGTCATCAACAGGTCCTCTTCAGTTAAATGCATTTGTTCAAACCAAATATGAAATTGAGCCTGAGCGTCCTGATATACAGTATTCTATTGACTGTGGTAATGTCCAAGATATAGTAACCGATCCGATTTTAGCTTCCACCGCAAAAGTAACTCCGTTAGCATATTATGACTGCTTTATCATAAGATCCATTTTACTGAACGAAATAAGTCGAGGGGTTATTAAACTCAATAACACGGATCCCGTCTTCGGTTACCCTATAATTTATGCAAATACTTTCTCGCAACAAATTGACGTGGCAAAAATGGTTGAAGGAATCAAACAATCTTTAAACTTGCTAAAAACACCAGCTTTGCAAAAACTCGGCGTCCGTTTAGTAACAACTCCAATGCCTGCTTGTAACCAATTTACATTTGGCACAGATGAATACTGGGCCTGTCTGGTGCGTTCTTACACTGGTACTATGTACCACTATTCTGGTACTTGTAAGATGGGACCAAAACGCGATCCTACAGCAGTGGTAGATCCACAATTAAGAGTGTATGGCATTAAAAATTTGAGAGTCATCGATGCATCAATTATGCCTAGGATTGTTAGGGGTAATACAAACGGACCCACTATGATGATTGCAGAAAAAGGAAGTGATTTTATTAAGGCAACTTGGTTAAAAAAGAAACTTCAGCTTGGGTTAAGCTTTAAAGACATGATAAGAAATTTGTTTTTTAATAAGTAACTTGAATAGGGTTTCCTTTAAGTACTAACAATGCCATAAGCTCAATGATTTTTTCTAGTGTTTTTGTCAATATCGGTAGAAAGTTTGATTAAAATGGCGTACTTATGGTTAGCTATGTACCTGTTTATATTTATTGTACTATAAGCAACCGAGAAGTGAGTCAGAAATAATAATAATACTAATAACATTATATGAGTCACCTGACCAAATCGTAAATGCACTTTTTTACTGTTGGTATTTTGTATTTTAGTATTTAGAGTCGTTTTGTTATGGGTGAAACAACAACACACTTGAGTCATATTAGTGTAATGTTATTACAGTTTGTTGCAATCCTTTTGCTAGTTTTGATGTTGTAGATATAAATTTAATGTTTCTGTTCTGAAAGTGTTACCATTTATTGCTCATGTTACATCTAACTTTTAGTTTGTGTTGTTAAATGTTTGTTGGGACGTATTATCACTCTCATTGTCACATTTATGTATTATTTAGCTTAAATGAAACTTAAACGTCAAGTTCATTTTACGGAGCTACAAATTATGTCTGTAAAAGTGAAACTTACTGAACACTTGTTGCCTTAAATTTTGCGAATCGGTTCATAGTCAATTACCAGAATGTAAAAATTATGTGCAGCAAAAATGACAGCAGAAATTATGGAGATCGCAGAAGTAATAGGATTAGGTTGAATATTCTTGGACAAATTCACAATTTTTTTATTTGTTTTTTCGTAATTAAGTAACCTCTCATAGTAATTTTTTCATGTGAATTTCTCAACTAAAATAATGTTATGTATTCTATATAGGTATAACAGTTTATGAGATTATTTGCCTTTTCAAATTTCTTGTATCGAAACAAAAAGCTGATAAAATTCAATAGTGTTACTGTATATATTTATTTATTTAGATCAACATTTGGTTGTGAAAATGTCATTTTGCGGACTAATTAGACAAATACTAGTAAATATTGTGTATATAAGTATTCTGTGCATGATTTATGTTCTATGTTATGAGAAATGAGTGGTATTTTCGTTAGATAATATATGGTTTTGTACATTTATTGAGAATAATATTTATTCTGAATTCAATGAATAAATGCTTCGAGAGAAAATTTTACTGATGTTGCGCGATTTTAATTTTTTTCTTGATAGTCTTATTGTTTAAAAATTTATATTTATATAACATTAGTGAAAAATAAATTTATTAATCATATTTATTTTTTGTTACAACGTCTAATTTTACGAGATAAGTATGTAGTAAAATTCGATATTGCTTGAGTTTGGGAGCTGTAGCATATTTCAATTAAGTTTAAATGCAATTTTCCGAGCAAATTCTTACATCGTCAACAAAAAATATTCTAGCGAACTTAGTTGGATAACTAAAAAATTTACGGAGAAGTCCCTACATTTAGATAACCGAAATTTTACGGAGAAAAATGTATGAATGGCTATTGTATTTCTACTTATTTAATTCCATTTTCATTTTTTTAATCGCATATCCATAACTGTATTTATTAATGTAGAAATTAAATTTTAAATAAATTTCGTAATTTTATTTAACTAAAAACTTAATCAATATTTACGGGCTGGTTTCACCAAGAATATGTATTGCTTCCCGCCGCCTCATCGTAAAATTTCAAATTTCTAGCAATTTTTTATAAAACTTGTTCTAATATTTCATTTTATACGATCTACGACGTCGTCATGTAGGTAAGTATGAATGCTCGCTCATAAACGCTCCACTCGTATTCCGTTGTCGAGAAGCAACGAATTCGTGGCTTACAACGAAATATTAAAAACAGCCTGATCTGTGTACAATTGTACATTTTTGTGTATTTTGGTACGTCGAATAAATACTTACACTCTGTTTACAAATAAGCTTAAGATAAATAAAACTATTAGCTTATATTTAAAGTGACTCGATCAGGAGAACGTAATCAAATGAGCCGTGTGGGAAAATTAAGCTCAACATTTTTAAAAAGTGTATAAAATTGATCAAGTAATAAAGCCCAAGCTTGCAAGCTGCCTCCTGCATCATGAATTTCTCTTGGGTTCTATTTTTCCTATCGGTGTGAAGGAAGTGGATAAAGGACAAAATGGTAAATGACCTAGAAACACATCTTTGTTTTATATTTTCAAACACAAGTTTTGCTAATTTTTGTTAGGAATTATTTCCCTGTCACCCTAGAAGGTACAGTTAACAGATTTAAATATTATGGCTGCTTTCATATCCTTAACAGTCTTTATGACAAGTTATTATATTTACCATTTGTTAGTGTAATAGATTATAAAAATATGTATTATCCGAAGAATGAAAGAAACAACTCCCATCAAATGTATCTACAAGTAATTTTTAATGTCTTAAGTATGCATGTGTGAGACATGTTAGCTAATTTCACTAGTTTCATCAGTTTCATAACAACAATGTATGCATGATCCTTCATGATCTTACTAGTTTTTTGTTGTGTTTAATTAAACTATTTACACCTAAGTATTTTTTAATATGTGGTAAACTACTGTGTAACAATGAGTAAAAATTAATTTAATACTTTGTTTTACTGTACAAAATTGATTACTATAGTTAGTTTTAGTTGTCCTAATGTTGATATATTTTTAAAATATTGTATTTGACTTGACTGTCTAGCAGTTACTTTTTTTATGTATAGTTAGGGATCACTGTGTTGCATTTGGTCAACAATAAACGTCTTTAACTTCTGTTTAACTTAATCTCATATTTCAACGTTGAGGACTATAGATAACTTGATGTACCCATGATCTATTTAATAGGTGATGGGTATATCAATATTATGTACTTGTTTTTTCTTAAACTTGGTCGTTGGTATACGCATATCTTACCTTTTAGTTGTTTGTATGCAACTAAAATTTATCAGGCGTAATTGTGGCCCCATAACAATTTAATTTTAACATGAACCAACTTTTGTAGACCTGTGAATTATCTCCTACTAATTGTACTACATCTTTGTGACGTTTCACGAGGTTTGTAATTATTTGTGCTCGAATTGTAACTTGCAAAACGACACACTGTGTCATTGTTGTACATCATGAGCAGGTCTAAATGAACAATCTTCATTTTCGGCTTCGGCCCTCGTCAAATTCTGTAAACAACATCAATGATTTTCGTCACGACAGTATACGGACCTTCCCAATCTGGTGACAACTTCGGGCGACGACCTTTTCCTCTTCGGGGATTATAAAGCCATACCAGATCTCCTGCCTGGAATCCTACTGAGTTACCCCTAAGGTCGTAGCGCGGTTTCATTCTGTCACTCGCCACCCGGATCTTGTGGCGCACCGATTCGTAAACGCTCAGCAACTTCTCCTTCAAGTCATCGACGTAATCTATGACCTCCTTTGATTCTTCACTCGGAGAGCGGAACAAGATGGCACAAGGTAGACGAAGTTCTCTTCCGAAAACTATGCGCGCCGATGTCTGACCCGTCGTATCATGATTGGTAAGCCAGTAGGAACAATGGAAGATGTCGGTCGCAATCTTTCTGATGTACGGCCACCACTTTCGAGAGATATTCTTCCATGGTACGATTGAACAGTTCTACAATTCCATCTGATTGCGGGTACAACGTCGTGGTCCGTGTCTTCCGCATCCCTAGTACTTTAGTAACCCTTTGGAATAGGTTTGGCTTCAAGTTTTTGCCTTGGTCCGAATGTATTTTCATTGGGACCCCAAACCTGCTGATCCAATTGTCAATCAGCATTTTTACGATGGTTGTGTTTTCTTGGTTCGGTAGGCATAAGCTTCGGGCCATTTGCTGAACTAATCGCTGACGACCATTATGTACTTATTTCCGTCCTCGGTCACAGAGAAGAGACCGCTATGTCCACTGCAATTCTTTTGAAAGGCAAACGGACGATGTATTGTTGCATCGTCCCTCTCACCCAGTCCTCGGTCTCTTGACCGCAGCACAGGTTTCGACATCTTCTCGGCAACGGACCCAGTAAAATCTCTCTCTAACTTTAGAAAGGGTCTTGTTGATTCCAAAGTGAGCACCAGAACCCCCATTGTGTATCTCTCGAAGTACTTCCCTGATTCTAGTGGCCGTAACCACCAACTGCATGGTTTCCTATTTGGACTCTATCAAGTTTGCTTAAGCAATCTTTTTTCGACACGCAGAGAGTCCCACTGAGCCCCTAACGCCTTGAAAAAGGTGACTCGCCTGATTTATTTCCGACCAACCTGGCCATTCCACCCCATCTTCTTTCCATTTGAGCAACGGCCCGATATCCAGGTCCTCCTCTTGATCTTTTCTAAGCTGGGCCGTTGTCCATTCTTCATCTTCTACGACTGCTGTCTCTCGATCTTGCTGCAGTGTTCGCAATTCTTACACGGTCTTCTCGACAAAGAGTCCGTATTATTTTGGAGCTTACCAGCCCTGTGTCGAATTTTGAAGTGATACTGCTGGAGTGGTTCAAGCCATCTAGCCACTTGTCCTTCGGGATTCTTCATCTGAAGGAGCCATACGGGGGCTGCGCGATCCGTTCTAATCAGGATTTCAAGTCCATAGAAATACTTATGGAAGTGTTCAATAGCCCTGATAATCGCCAACAACTCCTTCTTTGTAGCACAGTAGTTTTTCTCGGGTTTCGAACGTACGCTGCTGAAGTATTCAATGACTTTTTCTTCCTTGTCCTATACCTGTGACAATACGGCACCTATTCCGATGTTTTCGCGTCTGTGTCCAAGATGAACATTCCCGATGACTGGGGATACGATAGAATAGGACTAGAGCATAGTGCATTCTTCAATCTTTTGAAGGCTGCCTCACATTCAGCAGTCCTAGTAAAATGAGACGAGACTTCAAATCCGTCAGTCTGTGCAGAGGAGCAGCAATATCAGCAAACCCGTTGACAATGCCAAGAAACTCCGGACTTCGTGCTTATCTCTTGGTCTTGGCCAATCGTGAATTGCACTGATCTTCGTTTCCTTAGTTTTGATCCCGTTTGCTGAAATAGTATACCCCAGGAATTCTACTTCTTTTTGGAAAAGGAGACATTTCTTCAGATTCAGCATCAAGTTTGCCACCTTCATTCGACTTAAATATTTCTTCTAAGTTAGTGAAGTGCTCCTCAAATGTCTTTCCCATTACCATCATGTCGTCTAAATAAATCAAACATGTTTTCCGTGTTAGCCCTCGTAGTACTATCGCCATTAGTCTCTCAAAAGAAGCCGGAGCATTACACAGTCCAAAAGGCATTACGGTAAATTAATACAAGCTGCTCCCGGCAGAAGAAGCGGTCGTTTCCTTATGTTGTGGATACCAACTTGCTAATAGGCGCTTTTGAGGTCCAACGTGGAGAACCAGGCGGATCCTGATAATGTTGTGAGCATGTCATCAATTCGTGGGAGCGAGTAACTGTCCTTCTTGGTGACTAGCACTACAGGCGAATACCGTAGACTGTTTGACTCCTCTATAACGCCTTCATCCAACATTTTTCCTAACAGTTCTTCAACTTCTTTTTGTTTCGCTAAAGGTAGTCTTCACGGGGCTTGACGGATCGGTTGCGCGTCTCCAGTGTTTATCCGATGTTGCAGCATGTTTATGCGCCCAGAGCACTGTCCAAATGCAAACATTTCACTGTGTTTCTGTAAAAATTCTCTTGCTACTTTCTGCTGATGTTTGATTAGATGACCAAGCTCTATAGCAGGAATTTTTAAGTTGCTTTTCAATTCTTCATTATTGTTATCAGAAAGATCTTCGTTATGATGAAATATCTTCGTGGCTGGTTCACATACGGTAAGAATATCCCCACTCTTGATGTTCATGGCTTTGGGGAACACATTTGCGACGCGTACAGCTATATCACAATGGGTACTAACTAAAGCAGTGGCAATCATGAGATTCGTCTTAGGGGTGTGCGGTGATTGAATAAAGCCTAGGGAAAATCCGGGTTTGACTTCTGCTCTGACTGCATTCCCTCTAACTTTCACATTCTGGCACGCGATCAGTTTTACTGGCTTGGATTCAATACTGCGTTGAGTCAGGATAAACTCTGCATTGCCAAGACGTATGACTTTCTCCACTGGATCACCCGTCAACCCATGGCAGCTAATCAAATCCATTCCCACAATATTTTCACTTCCCTGGGGCATTATTCTTACCAGCCAGCACATCCCCCAAAGTACTGGCTATTTTTAGTTTTCCTGCACGAATCAGGGCGTCAGATGATCTTTGATATCTTGATACTTATAGGATCTTCTTAACTTCAACGTCGCAAACCTCTCTTGAAAGGATGGTGGTGCGTCGGAGTACGCAAGACGTACCAGTCTCTTGACGTCTGTTTCAAATTCTTATAGAGATTCCTCTGATTTTTGTATTTTTGTTTTGACTTGGGCTGCAAAAAGTTGTCTCATATGTTCATCCCCAAATCGAAGTTCTGGGGGAGCAGTTAGGGCATTGTATCTTATTCTATCTTCGGATAGAGTTCGAATTGCTTCTTGTATGATGACCAGGGCGTCTGACCATCATAGGTGGAATTGTTCTGTGGACCGACATCACATTACATGAGCTAGTTGTTACTGCATTTAACTTTTCGAATTTCTTCATTTTAATCTCCATCCTACCTTCTATAGTTTTCTCCGACAAGATTTTGCATGACTTTCAAGTTTCTTTCTATGTCGTTCATTTGTTCTTTAATTCCTGTTATTTCACTTTTGTTTGTTTCCACTTCCATTTGGAATTTTTCAGTTAGGCTGGTGATTATGTCATCTTTTTGCTTATCTATTTTTGCGTTCATCATTTCCATTTTTTCCTTTATTTTCTCATCTCTTGCATCCATTTTTTCGGTCGTTTCTTCTATTTCTGCATCCAATTTCCCATCTATTGCATCCATTTTTTCGTTCATTTCTTGTATTGGTGCATTCAGTTTACGTCCATTCCTTCTAGATGTTCGGCGATCGGGGTCTTTCTGGAATACCCATCGCGAGTTCCGCTTCCAGGCTGTTCTTTAGCGAACGCCGCCCGGCCGCCGTCACCGACGATGAGTTATCAAGTTCTCATCGCCGTACATACTAGAACCCATAGGTGTCGTACCGAGGCGGCGTATGGGTTTCTTTCGTAACAATATAATTTGCTAAAAGTCTTTACTGTTACTTCATTACAATATGTATATAAAAGAATACTGGGTTTGGATAGCTTTACTTAGTGATTATAAACATTATATGTTTACAAACTTACAGACTTGGCACAGACTTATCGAAATGGAAAATTTACATTTCCGTTAGTTGCAGATAAAAAACATTGAAAAAACATGAAACTGGACATTCGCTAAAAAGACTTTTCACTAGAAGTTACAAAATTAAATATAAACGGCAGTTTTAATGTCAATACACTCCAAAAGATGGAAACACATTTGTTTTTACTTCCCGAGCATAAGTTAAGTAGGATCCATCCGAACAATTGTTACTTTCATATTTAATGGACGTTTCATGACCTCTAGAGTATGAAATAATAGATAATCTCCGAAACTACCCGGCCGATTGTTGTCAAATTTTATACGCATGTTAGGAATATCGTGGAGATGGTAAAACCCTATTCAAAATTTGTCTAATCATCCTCAGTCACAATTTGCGTAGACAATTTAAAGATAAACCACGTATGTTTCGCAATACTCACCTTTGAATAGTCCGAATAACGTTCGCTAAGGGTGCAACCATTTCCTTTAAAGGTGAATATTGTTAAAGTAAGTCAGTTCGCTAAATGATCTAACAAATTAAATACCAGTGTTAATACTTAACTTGTTTATGAGTTACCGCTATTAAAGAAATACGACATAATTCTAATTTAGGGAAGGCCCTGTGTTCAAGTAAAAAACTTGAAACGCAGTTACATTTACAAAACTTCAAGGGTTCAGGATATTTTCATTAGGGCTCGCGCATTCCTTGATCCCTTGATCCACACCATATGTGTAAAAACATTGAACCCTTCAGTTTTATTTTTGTATGTACATATATTTCCACACATTACCGCAACTTGTTGCTCACTTTCATTATTTATTATTAATCATTCGTTACAAACAATAAAGGTTGGAAATATATATTAAAAAGAAAAAAAATAATTGTTTTTATTTATTTCTTTCGTATTTACATGAGTTCAATAATCGTAAAAATATTATCAACGCTTCTGGTAATGAAAGTATAATACAATCTGTCAAGTGTAAGTAGGCTTACATTCAGTGTCAGTAATTTCAACAATTCAATTCGCATAATAATTAAAAGAGGCTTTCATTTTACTTTGAAAATACAACCAATCATGGTTGGGAAGAATAAGACAATTTTATGTTAAATATAATTTCGAAACTTATTGTTGATATAACTGACATTTCAATGTGGCGACAATTAATACTTGGCATGTCATTGCCAACAATAATAATTGCTAACATATTAAAACCTGCCTACTTTTCAATTTGACTTTATGAAGAAAGTCCTTTACACATTTTGTTACACTTAGGTTAATGGTCAATGTACAATGTCTGCACACTCGACGCTAAATGTTTAAAAAATACTTCTAAAATTTCATTTTTGACGAATTAGTCAAAAATGCATCCATATTTTTTGTTTTGTTATTAATATAAGCAGGAAATTATAGTGATATTTGTAATAAATATGAACACAAACTCAAACATTCCCGTAACTCTTTGTGGTATCTATTGTTACTGTTACCAGTACTCTTGCCCCTATACGTGTTTCTCATTGTTTTAATGATAATCCAGCCAAATAAAAAATATAACACTCTAGAGTGAGTTTCCTTTTTTTTTATCAAATCCACTAAATTATTTTTGGTAGATAACACTTTAATTAAATTTCAAAAAAGGAAATTAGGGATTTTTAATTTAACCCACACATACTTCACTCCACTTCACATAACAAAAAAACTATTTACCGTTTAATTGAAATCTCAGCATCGTAATTTGAAAATTTAGGTAATTGTTAATTTAAAGTAAAAAAATGTAAAACTGATCTAAATAAAAAGACAAAAATACCTTTCAATAAATATGTATAAATCTTTTATAAATGAACATTGTAACATTCATTACTCCTTTAGGCTTTTTGGTACAGTGCGAATTTTCAAAATTTCAAATTGTTTTCAGAGAGACTTAAAAAAAAATAACTACAAAAAATATTTACATAGACAGTTATATTTAACGTAAATATAAAATTTATGGCCAAATTTTTCAAATTAACTATCTGCGCTACATTCAAAAATTTTTTGTAGAGTAGTTATCGGGTGTTTGAAATGAAGTTATGGTACGATTTTTAAAAGTTTCAAAGTTTTGAACTATTACTTTATAGTTGTGGGAAACATAATCTTGAAATATTCAGTTAATGTAAAAGTTACTGATTATATTATTCGATAATGGATGCATTATTTTTAAACACCTAGGTAGTAGTGCAGTTTCTTTTACTTCAACCAAGTTGACTTAATAATATCACTTGCTTTTTCCGCAATCATAATCGTGGGAGCATTTGTATTACCTCTTACAATTTTTGGCATAATCGATGCATCGACTACTCGCAACCTTTTTATACCATGTACTCGCAGTTCAGGATCAACGACGGCCGATTCATCGTCTTTTGGCCCCATCTTACACGTACCAACAAAATGGTAAATAGTCGTTGTGTATGATTCTATTACACAAATCCAGTAGTCATCAGTTCCAAATTCTAAATCATCACAGGGATATAAAGGAGTGGTAACCAATTGAGCACCTAGCTTTTGGAGAGAGTGTGTTTCTAATAAGCTTAATGCTTGTTTTATTCCTTCAACTATTCTTAGTAAATCTGTCCCTTTTGAAAATGTATTTGCATATATGAGAGGATGACCATAAATTGGATCTGTATCGTTTAATGTAATTACGCCTCGACTTTTTGGATTTAGTAAAATGGGTCTTATAACAAACGTGTCATAGTAAGCCATTGGCGAAACTCTGGTTTCCGCCGTTAAAATAGGATCCTTTAAAAAGTCTTCAAGAGTTGTGGCATCTATGGCGTACTGTATATCGGGTCGATCCAGTTCGAATTCGTATTTTGTTTGAACGAAGGCATTTAACTGTGCAGGACCTGTCGACGACAAAGGACCTGCTTGTTTTTCTCTGTAGTAATACACATCCTTTCTTTGTTGTTCTTCATCTCCGTTAGTTGCGGTTTCATTTGGTAGCTGGAACATTACACCATCGATTGTCGTATGATCATGCAAATTATATCCTACAGGAAGATCTTTAATCACATGAATTCCAAAACTTTTTAAGTGATGGGCAGGTCCAACACCGCTTAACATTAGAACTTTGGGCGACATTATGGTGCCACATGATACTATAACCTCTTTTCTCGCAAAGGCTCGGACTAATTTACCATTTTTCTCGTACTCTATTCCATAAGCAGCTTTCGTTTTAGGATCAATAAGAACTCGGAGAACATAAGCTTTTGTTTCAATTACAAGATTTTGTCTTTTCCTTCTAATCGGTCTAATAAACGCAATATTGGCACTCTCTCGTCTTCCGTTTCTCGTCGTAGTCTCTAATAAACTAGCTCCAATTTGGTGACCAGAATTTTGGTCCAAAATTTCTAGCCCCGATTCTCCTAAAGCCCTAAACATTGCCATAACATTTTGGTCTTGATACTGAAATCTTTCCACACTTAGATATCCTCCTACTCCATGAACATAAGGTGCAACATGTGGTATGTCGTGATTGTCTTCAGATTTCATGAAATAAGGAAGAACTTCATCATATGACCAGCCGTCATTTCCTTTTTCAGCCCACTCATCGTAATCGCGGGGATTACCTCTGATGTAAATCATGTAGTTAATAGTTGACGATCCGCCCATAACTTTGCCTCTAGCCCAAGCACACTGTCCATTGCGTCTCGCTAAACAGCTGTGAGGACTAGGCTGTGTCATGAAATCCCAGTCAATACTAGAATGTTGAAGCAATGGAGCAAATGCAGGAACGTCGGCTACTTCGGGTTCTTCGTCACCGGCTTCAAGAAGCAATACCTGTAAAAAAGTAAAATTCTTAGTAATGTTGTCTTCCACTGGAACAGAGTGGTTATTACGACGGATCTTCATATATTAGGTATGTATATGGGACGAAAATAAAAAGTTATACGTTTTAAATATACTACATAAATATAAGTTTAAGGAATATGTATTTTTTAAGTACATATTTCTCAAAATGCATGAGCAAAATTTAAAAACAAAATAATTTTAATCATTTTGCAAATACAGGGCTTTTATAAATGATTTTAAGGGCGTAGTTGGCCATGGATTTAAAAATTTGTTTTTCTGTCAGGAAACGAAGACTGTGAAAGTGGTTTATTCTGTTGAAGAAGACATTTTTATTGTTATGTCTTGTTATCGCAATGCGACTTTATAAACGAAGAGTTGGTGTATTCCGTAACCGCTTGCAAGGAAGAATATCTGGGAAATACCGTGCTTTAATAATTCAAGAAACATCGTTAAAGGGTCACATTAGAGATGTAATCAACAGATTTGTTCAAATTGGCAGTGTCAACAAAGAGAAATCTCGTTGAAGACCTTCAGTATCTCAGGAAATTATTGATGATTTGAGACCATTTTCTAGAAAATGTGAGAATACCCACGTTTTTATTTAATTATGATCAAATAAGAATAATAATAATCGTATTTAAAACATTTTGTTCCGTGGTTTAATTAATAATTTTAGTATTGTGTCAAATTAAACAAATTTCTACGTGGTATTATTTTGATGTATAAATATAAACAATCGTAGTTAAGTATGTACACTGATAATAATACACTCTTTTCGCTTGGTTATTTGCTTTGAATACATTGCATATTGTGTGTATATCTGTGGACGGCACCTCCTTGGAATTTGCACACCCGCAGCGCAGGGGGTTCGAAGCGTAATTTACCACTGGTTGTTACTATATACCTAAAAGTTATCAGAAAAGGCAAATTTTCTATAATTTTTCAAAGAAGCGGAATTTGTTGGATTGTACTTCAAGGGCGACGGAAGTTCTGTCGAAGTAACCTTGGACCAATTTTTTAAAATGTTGTTAGATTGTTTAGTTAGCTAAGAAATGAGGCTATATCTTCATGAAACTTTCATCAAGTTAAAGGTGGAGTAACAGGACAGGTAAATTTGCAAAGTTATTTATATAATTTTGTAAAAAATTTAAGAGAAGTAATTCACTAAACCGATTTTCCATACCAGTTAAAACAGACGCGCAAAAAATGTTTGCGTCATTCTTTCACGTAACATTCAAAATGCTTTGTAACGGTCTCAGTTGTTAATGGCAATGTTAAAATAAAACGAATTAATTAACCGAATTTCAAAAAAAAAGTGGCACTCTAAATCACTTTCCTTCTAAAATATCAGCTAAAAAGTATTTCAAAAAGTTGAAGTAAAAATCTAATCAGTCACATATTTTCTAATATTTACAATATATATATTTTCCAGTTATTTTATTATTAGCCCATTGTTTTCAGGTGGTTACGTGTAAAATATTAAACATAAAATTATGGTGGATGGGTTCTTCGAAATGTGTAAAATGAGATTCAAGATTATTTTGATTTAAAAATAAAAAAAGTACGTATTTCCAGACACTGCATTATTTTATTAGACAATCAGGTTAAGTTAAACGTTGCATATACACTGACCGACAAAAAAACCGACCACCGTGAAATACTTCGTAAAATTGCTTTAAAAATTATTAATTTAACTACTGATTGTTGTCTAAAAAACCATTCACTGTTGACACAGGAAGTACAAATTAGCTGAAAAAAAGACAAAGAAATACAGTCAATATTGACAGAGGAATTTATTTTATCTATATTTTTAATCTAATAAATCATTACTTACAAATTGTTTTAAATACATATGTGGTCAATTTTGTAATCTTGCTATTAGATACGCCATGTAGTGCATGATTTTACGTAACTTCGTTAGTACATTGAAAGTAGACCATCATTGTGAACAGAACTTTTTTCTGTAACCATAACCACCAATTAAGTTACAGCGTAACCGGCGTGTTCATTGAAAGATGAAAGATCTAATATAATATCAAAATTAACCAAAAAATAATATATTGTAGAAAATGACATATTAATTTTTTAACAAATTATGGCAATTTGTTTTTACACTATATTACTTATACTTATTATAGCTGTTAGTATTACAAGGTATACGAAATTTTTTGCTTTAATTCCAAAATTTGTACCTAGCGCGAAAATATATATTCAATAATGAAAATTTCCGGTCTTTCTAAACTATTCAATAAATGCAGTTGATGCACTACATATACGCACCATGGGTTTTTGTTAAATCACAATCGAAAGTATTATAGACAACACAAGATAAAAAAACTTGATTTAAATCAAGTGTCCGTGGAAACCGTGACTTATTTAAATCACGTATTTTTGTTGTCTATACACTTTCACTGTTGACATTAGTAGCGAATGCTCTACATTCTCCATAATCATTCTTTTGTGCATTTGTACAGTAAACAAAATAATTTGCTAATAGGTTGTTAGCCGCAACAATCAATATTCATTTCACTGATTTGCTGTTTGCTTTGTTGGTTATTGTTGCAAAATCTTCGGCTTTATCTATACAACTTTAACACGACTTAATTACATTCACCATATATGTAGTCATCTAGAAATACTTCATTAAATGAAATCATATTGACTCTAATTGCATCATGTAACATATATTTTCAATACGTTCATTTTAGAAAAAAAACACACACCTTGTATTATGTATGTGTTTGCTGCGTTACTTCTTTACACTACTTATAAGTATGTCACTTTCTTACTTTTGCAGTTCTCCATAGATTTCTCATTTTTAGTTTCTTTTGTTTGCATCTTCTTTTTCTACGTTACCTACTCTATCAGCTTATTGTATTTAATAATTTACGATTATATCCAAGTTTAAACATTCATGCATTTTTCACTTGTGTTATGTTTTTTGCAGCTTGAGAATTAGAAACGAACTAAAATTTCGTATGTACTTATTTAAGAAATACTACCGAAGTCGACGAATTAAATTATTGAATTTTCTTTGCATTATATTCATAGTGGGTTATTTGGACTATTTACTGCGGCTATGCTGTAGAAGCGTAATCAAGAAAGGAGTTTTGTTTTTTTAATTTCATAACGTAATATAACAAAGTAGGCAAGTAATAAGTATTTGTGTTATAATACGAAATTACATAAGTCAAAATTCTATCAGAGTGCTGAAAAGTATTAGGTATTACTACAAAAATGATTGAGTAAAGTAAAATTTATTCCTTATGCATTAGTACAAAAAATACTACTTAATTTTATTATAGAAAATATTAATGGGAGGTTTATAATGCTAAAAAAAATTGCTGGCGTAATAAGAATGCCTCGTTACATTTGTTAGTTTTTGAAATCAAATCCCTTCGATTCTGGTTTTATAATGATAATTTGATTTTAGCTCGGAAACTTATCACTATTTTTAATAAATATTCCAGACATCTCAATCTCAATATGCATGTCAGTGGCGGCTCGTGATCTTTTGAAATGGGGGAACACAATTTGATTGATAAGTTAAATATGAAGATATAGAACAGGTTGTTATTACCAGTTAATAGACGAAATTGTGTGACGAAAATAAATACAAAAATACATTCAATAAAAATAAAAAAGGACTTCTCCACATACCTTTTTGCCTACGGTCAAAATTTTACGTTCATGGCATCTAAAAGTTAATTTTCAACCGTTGTTTCTTTCAAATAATCTGATAAAGCAGAGTCCAATTCAGCCATAAAATCAATCAGACCTCGAAATATACCTGGATTTTGTGATTCCCTACTTTCGTCATGTCCACGTAAAGGAAATTCCAACACTCCACAAAATTTTATGCACATTACCAATCGGCGTAATATATGGTGATTTTTGTCGACCCCCGCGTTATGTGCCCCAATATTATTAATATAAGCGGTGTGTAGTTGTTTCCGAATGTGTGTATTAGCGAGAAGATTATCCAAGAATATTATACGTGTTCGCGCAGAATGAAAATTAAAACCCGCGATAGTAACTCAATCCTGCCGAGCATTGTTGAAACGGGACCGCAGTCCGGGTGAATCAGGCGGCTAGGAGGTGAGGTTTCCATGGCAGGGGTGTAAACAAAACGTCTAAATCAGCCATGATTCGGTCTCTGTTCCGGGCTTTTATCAGCATTTCATCAGAAATAACATATCATATATCCAAGACACATCTTTAGATGTAACTGGATGTAAGTTTTGACACATTTTATACAAGTGGAACGAGATAAAAAATTAGTTTTAACAATTATGAAACAGATTTCCGGTTAATTATTTAAATGTTGAAAATTACTATTTTGATATGTCCAGTGTGTTTGTAGACGTTGTAATTTTGTACATAGGCGCCCCTGATGTATGTATAAAAAAGTTTAAAAGTTGATTTTACCCACAGCTAAACGTGCACTCGCATAGCAGAACTTTTTCGAATTTCACATCCTTTTAACCATTTACCATAATAAAATTCTGTTTGAAAATGTCCCAATTTTTTCCATGTGAAGTTATGGATGTCTGTGAAAATAGTGTCAGTATCGTAATTATTGCTGATCGCAAGGCTTAATTGAACGTAAGCTAATAATACGTTTAAAATTTCAACCCCTCTAAATATCACTTGTTTTGACCTGAATTTTGGTTACCTAATTAAAATCGCTAGAAATTTTTGGTGGTAATTTACATCTATTGTAAAATATTTAAACTTAATTTCTATCCTATTCTGATCTTATTGTGATTACACTGTCAAATACTTGACAAATTTGAGATATTTTTAAATTTTTTAACAAGTACCAAAAGGAGGTGTAAACTTGAACAATGTCAACCTTTGGAGAGAGAAAACTACTGTTGATTTCAATTGAGTACTTTCTCTATATTTTTATAGACTAATACAATAGTAAAAAAAAGACAAGTCTTTCCTTTTTTAAAACAAGCCATAAAATAATTGCATTACTAAAT